CTCAGCCCAACAGCAACGTGCCTTGCAGCCTGCCGTCAGCCTAGTAAGTCGTCACCATGACAAAACCTGATAACTGGGACTAACTGGATTCCTTGAGGCTGCAGCCCAGTCAGGGTTTTGTGGTTTGCGTCCCCCTCTCTCCAAGAAAAAAAACCCCACTGGCTTACACAGCCCCCAATTACAAATATAACCCACCTAAAGAAAAGTAAAAGTAAAATAAATGTAAAAAAGAGGAAGTTGTTACTAGCCCAAATCATTTAAGTTTCCAGTGTGACATGCCACGTGGTCCCTTGAAAATGTGCTCTGGCACAACCGACCTCGTTGCAGGCAATTTAAGCCGGCATCGCCACCGAAAGCAGCAGTGGTAAGGGCATCCCTTCAATCACTCTGTCCGGCATAAATTCAGCATTCTCCAAGTTGAAGTCGGGACAATCGGGAGGACTTCCAGGTTAGTCCTTAGCCATCCCATTTATGCTCCTATACAAAACGCCAGCAAATGAAACCCAACTTCCTCCTCCCTTCAGCCTCCAGCGACGCCGCTTTCCTACCAGCCGAGACGCGGCACTTTTCCATTCGCCAACAGAAAGTTGGGAATTCCCCCTCTCCCTCCCTCCCTCCCCACATCAAATAAGACTTTTGCTCTTATAATCTGTGCTTTACCATTTCATCTCTACTGCTTTACCACAAAGTGGGAAAAATATCCTCAGTCCACTCCTGCCGTTTAGAAGAACATCCAGATACTTCTGGAGGAGCCTGCAGAAGAAAAGACATGTTTTATTTAACATTACAAATATTTGTGCTGGCACATCAAAAGCCAAGTGCTACACGCTATGTCAGGTAGCACACGAACTCCATGACGGAGCATAGGTTCTTAGTTCAACCTGCTTCATACCATCAGAAATAAAAACATTAAAATAAGAAACATTCACCTTCCATTTACCTAGAAAGAAAGTAAATTTAATTTCTGTTAGAAACAAGCACATTTCTGTTTGTTGTGTTTTCTGTTTGTCTTTTCAAGTAAACAAACCAACCGACCCACCCACCTCCAAGAGGACCAAAACAGATGGCTTAAACAGAACGATTATTAAACTTCTGTATCAATCAAATCACTTCTGCAGGTCTTAAATGTAAGTTTCGCTGGTTGAAAGACTATATAATCAGGTTTGCTCTCTTAGGTCCCTGTCTGGCAGTGCACAATAATTGCTCCGATGGCCCCTGCATATTGTTTTAGGCCCCAGTTTCATAACTCGTGAACAGCAGTGCAGAGCTTCTGCATCGGAAAATTCAAGATTTTTAGCCAAGCTACCCAAGCTTTGTGGTTTAAAACCCGATTCAAGAGTAAAAGTTCTAAATTAATTTCAATCCTGTCTTTTCTCTGCCCTTTTTTCACAAATGTAGGTCACAAAAAAACATATATTTATTTTAGTTTCAAGCAGTGCCTGTGCAAAATAATTTTCCTTTTGTAAATGTTCTGTTTTCTACTAAGTGTCTTGAACGAGTCATTAATGTCGCAGCATAAACAGCTTAGGCAGAAGAGTGAAGTCACGTACGGATGCCCTTGTTCCTTGTGAAACCCGATTTTACCCGTTTCCCATTTTTGCAGCCATTCCTCCTCGGTCACCACTTGGCCCTTCTGTGACCCAGGATCAGAGCCCGCCAGGACCCCGCAGGCAGCTGCTGGGCGCTCCATCGTCCCCAGGGAGAGCCAGTAGCTGTGGAAAAAAAAAAAAAAATAAAGAGAGAAAAATTACCCCCACTCAATGAATAGTTGGGAACTGGCTCTTACTTCCTAGAATCAAATTAAAAAAAAAAAATTAAAAAATAAAAATTGAGTGCGGGTTAAGAGATGATAATTTGGCGACTATTTAGGTGTAGCTGCCCTGAAGGGGACAGAGCAT